ATGTAGTGCTTTTCAATGTTTATTAGACAAAATGTTAAAACACTGATTCAATGCAGTAAATACCACATAGAGCTCAGTTATTGTTTATTAGCCTTATTTATTTCACATTTAGTTAGTCATACATGTAGTGCTTTTCAATGTTTATTAGACAAAATGTTAAAACACTGATTCAATGCAGGGAATACCACGTAGAGCTCAGTTATTGTTTATTAGCCTTGCTCAGACATAGCACTGACATGAGGAACGGGATCTTTCCTGTTTAGTRAAGGTTAAACATGAAACGTCAAAGTTTATTACAACTGGCCTGTTTTAGTACACCAACATAACCCTCAGTCAAACTGAGTTTGACACCCCTGGGCTACTAAAAAGGCAAACTTTGTGTACTTTATCTTAAGCAATCAAGTATTTTGATGTATTTAGTTATTTTTTTTAATTTGATAAGGAATCAAATTACTGATTTTTTCAAGTCAAGCAGAATTTAAACCTGAATGAACAACTCTTTCATTGTTTTCATCAAAACATCTCCGTCCAATATCTGTGATCATAATGTTTACTGAAATACACTTGATCATCTTTTTTTTTTCATAAACAGATAAGCTTTTCCAAATATAACAGTGTTACACACCTACATYCGTATCAAACAATAAAAAAGACCAATTTGACTTACCTCTGTGATAAAAGCCTTGGCAGTAGCTGGGCTCATGAACAGCACTGCTCTCCGTAGCGTGTCCCTGTACCGATGCAGCTCCTCCACACGCATTGTTCTGAACAGACTTGTGATCATCATGTTGATATTAGATTCCACCTTCTGAAGGGAGACGTCCATTCCCTGCTGTGAGGTACGGTCCAAAAAGTCCTCAATGCCACGAATATCTAAAATAAAACAAAAACAGGGGTAATGTAACACWGATATTTGCAAAGGGATAAACAGTTGCATGATAAAAAATAAAATACTGATAGAAAAATASTAAGAGCATACTAACAAGTGTGCACCATTTTCTCTGTCACTGCTAATGTGTTGTCGCTCTGCATGAGTAGTTCCAGTAAATATCCCAATTCATCAGCTCTTGTTTACAGTTATCCTCTGCCTTTTTTTTTTTTTTGGATAAACAGGATTCAGATTTAATCCATCACACTAATTTGACGTTCAGCTCTTGTTGTCAACACAGATAATTTCTTAAAACTAAACAAATCTGTTTATAAACTTGAATACACAAAGCATTTTGRAGACAGGCCCTTAGGCATGACTGTAGGACAGAGTTGTTGTCTTTCAATCAGAATATTGGGGGCATGACTAAGTGTCCTTGGGCAAGACACTGTAACCTCTCTTTGCCCTCAACATACTTGGAGTTAGAGTATAACATTTTTAAAGGAATACAGAAAATGCAGATATATAATTTGCATACAATACAGAATATAGAAACTGAAGGGCAATGGCATGTGTTATGGAGTTAACAAGAAGCTTAATGTTGGGTGCTTTGAAAATTATACAAATGTGGACCATTTAGTTACAAAAAATATAAACTATTTTTTACTTTTTATAAAAAAATATAATGTATAATTGTAATGACCACTTGCATTTAGTGAGTCAAGAAAATGCCATGTCACTCTTTGTTACAGGTCAGAAGCCGACTTGATGCAGCACAGTATGGGTTTAATTCCATCACACACCACCATRTTGGCTACATGTTCAGTTTGAGTAATTATGTTCCTTTTTTAATATTTTTTTTTCCCTTGAGAGTTTGCTGAACTTTCTTCTTTGAATCATCAAAGAAATCTGAATACAATGGTGGAGATGTCAGTCTTTGAAGCTCTCGGCCCCTTTTACTCTTGATTAGATTCATCAGCAGTTTCAACTGCGCCAGTTCCAGCTGGATCACACCTTCGCTGATCACAGGCACAACTGGCCTTTGGTTCAACTTGAAAGATTCCAGTGTCATGAAAACTGATCAGGTGTGCACATTCAGCAGTAGGTGCTGTGGGACTTTAAAGTTGTCAAAATATGTATTGAAATTGACTGCCAGACTTTTCAGCAACACTCCTATTGGTAGCAGCCAGGAACAGGTCGAAAGTCTCTCAGCAAGCATTCAGTATTTCAATTATCTCTCGTGCATTCATATTTGAGGTTGGAGCTGGAGTGGGTTGAGGTCTGATTTGTCACACACATATACAGACAAGCACAAAATAAAGTGGGCCATGGACGTATCATGTGTGAACTTGGTCCAAATATAGAGCTTCCTGGTRCTGTTAGCAATATTCTGAAAAGCTGGTTCTTTAGGGTATAGGCTGAACAAATGTAGTTCACAATTTTAATGGCTGTATCCATCGTTGCTTTCATTTCCTCCGACAGTTTGGTACAAAACGCCTGATGAATGATGTAGTGTAGCAAAATGACTGTTGGGAGTTCTGGCTCTAGAGGTGAGACAAAGTCTTTCTCTAGTCTAGTCACACTGTATAAATGGCCCACCGTCAGTTACACTGAGGTTAATTTATCCAGCTGCCAACAAGGCTCTACAACAAAAGAGGAACAAAAAAAAACCACCAGGATTTTACTTGCTGTCTCTGCCCCTAAAAACAAAATGCACTTCAACGCCTCCTTTAAAGTTTTTAAATCAAACTATCTCACAAATCCTTAGAAATGCCAAATGACATGTATCTGTGAATTAACTGACAGTGATAGACGTAATAAAACATTAGGTAAAATGTATTTTTAAACAAATTGTTCACACTATGCTACTGTAAAATCTGACCAACTTGTGTAAGATGGTTAACAATGAATTCTTTGTTCTTGTCTTCTTAGAGTAGCTCCTGCATTATTCTCAGAAAGCACACGTTCCCAAGTTCAGCATGTGCAAACTGCGTGCCTTTCTCCGTCCCAAGTTAGTTGAAGTAAATCAGGAGGTGCTTTGTCGGCAACCGGCAGCAGTTGTTGTAGTTGCACAAACTGCTGATGTTGCAGTATAAAATGACTTCAAAGTCAAATTTTTTGTACTTTTCTTGCGAGTTTTAATTCTAAGCTAGCATGCTTTGTCCGGTGAGAGGATTTAAAAGTCAACATTCTTGCATACAACAGCRCTTTGGCAATAATATAGTGTTTAAGTTTAATGCTGCTATGAYGTGACAGCACAAAAGTCTGCATTTTACTCTGAAATGAACAGTTGGTCTTCAATTTTACCTGTTTGATGCCTCATATTTTCACTTAGCTGTTTTTTTTTACCTCCGCAAAGGGAGGAGGTAATGTTTTCAGTCYCGTATGTTTGTCTGTCTGTCATTCTGTCTGTCTGTGGACACAATTACTCAAAAACTTGTGGACGGATTGTCATGAAATGTAGATCACATGTGTGTATTGGCCAAAGGAACACACCAATAAATTTTGGTGATGTTCTGAATCACGATGCAGATACAGAAATTTATCTTTAAATTCAAGTGAATGAGCCAGGCTACGCAAAATGTCATTACGTCAGAAGCATGCCTGTAGGAAACAAAAAGTAGAAGTCGCAAACTRGCTGGGACTACACCTCCCAGGATGTCTACTATCAGGAAAGTTGTGATTATTCTGTTATCAACTACTTTTGGCGATGTTACATGCTGTCTGGAGATGTAGAAAAAGAAATGTGATTCTCTTCACGTTACGMGAATAACTGAGAAGACACCGARAGCGGGGGAAGGGTCCTGCTGCAGTCCAGCCGAAGCTGGTAAAGGTGTTACACTGGACCAATACAGGACAGCGGGAACAGCTGATCAACCATATGAGGTACCCCTCCACATAAGAACTTTATTGTGTGATTAGTCAGAGAAGTTCGTGGGAGTGTGTGTTTGTGCTGAAAGCACTCAGACGCTGCGTTTTGCTCCAACCACTCGCGTCAAAAAAAAAATGAAGGCGAGTCGCTTCCAGAGGGACTGTACCAAGAAGCATCAGTTTATAAAGATAGTCAAAGCACTAAAAACTCATAACAGGGGATAAAACAGACGTTTTACACGGTGGAATCTGACTGATGAAAACTTTGGAGCTTGATCCAGGACCAGTTTGTGGATAAATAATGTCGGTTGACGACTTTGTCTCTGACTTCTTTTTTTCGCATTGGACTCCACCGGGAAAAAAATCGCATTCATACTGTCTGCTTAAATGTTGGCTATTTCAGAACTTATTCGGCAAATGTGTTTCCATCCCTCCTGGTTTGCACTCTCCGGGTGCTTCTAGTTGTTTTTTTTTTTTTTTTACTGAGAACTTGATGTAAGTGTAGCCATCGGCAGATGTGATTTGATAGAAATACGTAAATTAAGTGTCACAGTCTAAGGCTGTAAATTATTTTGCATTAATCAGTGATATTTTAAAGAATAAAAGCAAACAATGATTTTAAACCTGCAGTTTTTTTAAAAGCTGTGAATCTGCTAAAATTGTATTTGCAAGATAAATTTATCTGAAC